TTTGTCTTCAATTTAGCGAAGATTTTTGTTTTAAAGCCTTGAATTCTTTCCTATACAGGAAAAAATCTAACAAAGATGCAGAGGTGTATTTTTCAGCAATCGCATGAAATTTTATGAAAAAAGTAGCCCTCATGTATTAACCCCATGACGACGCGCATTATTTGTATCTGGCACATGGGACCAACACGCCCCAAAAGTGAGACCTAGCCGAGGGTCATACAGTCCCTCGCATCCCAAAATGGGTGACCCATCCATGGGTTGCACGGTCGTCAATTATTGAAAAAGTATTTTCTATTTATGAAGTCTGTTTTCTTACCTCTAAACCACCATGTCTTGCGAACTTCCGTGCTATCCACTCTCGATTGTAGTAGGTGGTATCATAGTAATGACCTGGATCAGCCAGAAGTGTTGCTATTGTTAATCGTGATTTCAATGGCTTTCTGAAAATTAGTAAGTCAATCATTGCATTTTTACTAAACTAAAGTGCTAGGAAATCTTCTTCAAGTTTCTGCTATTTCTTAAGGTAAATTAAGCGTACAAATACTTTCTTCACTATCCTATAAGGTTGTCGATTGAGTTCGAGCTGTTTTTTTTTCTAGTTTAGAACAAATTGAGCAATTAAAGTGGTACGATAACCCAACTGCTTGCTTTATTTTGAACTTTTTCTCCTTAAACATTATCATTTGACTGGACTTACTTTGCTGTTGAAGCGATGTGCATTGAGGTAAGTAGATTTACTCCACTACTAGTGCCACCGGACGCTCCTTGATCTCGTAATATTCGCATAGCGGCGGTGGCAGCAACATCAGGAATTTTGATAACTCGATCGATTACGGCAGCATCCATACTGAACAATAGAGCAGAATATTTTTTTTATCTTTGTACAAATTTTTTAATAAAATTGTAAGTAGCAGTTCTCGTGAAATGTTGAAAATGTGTTTCATCTCAAACAAATCTTTTTCAAAAATTTATTTATCATTAACTTGAGAAAATAGAGATCCTATATGTGTAGAATATTTGAATAATATATCCCTCGCTTTAATCTCGTGGGAGAGAGGAAGATATAAAGCGAATAGCGAGGGAGGGCAGAGCCGGCGAAGATATGGAACACCTCTACCATGTGCAAGACAAGCGCAGAAAAATGTTTAGAAGACCACAAGAAATAACTGAGAGATGGCGGAAGTACTTCGAAGAAATGTCGTCCACTACCAGTCCTGACAGTGCCATATCACCAGCTGACTCTGTAAGAGGACCAGTGCCACTCATAGCAGCTTAGGAAGTACGGCTTGCTATAGTAAAGACAAAGAACGGTAAGGTTTTCGCTCCAGATAACATACCAAGAGAATTCCGAAAAGAATACGGAGGCTCGGTGCCTTTTGGCCTGCAAGCCTCTTCAATCAGGTCATCAAATGAGAGCTGCCTGTGGCCAGAAAGCACAACGATTGCGATATGGAAAAAATGCGATATCGCAGATTGTTTAACATACACGAATCCGGCTGATGAGTACATTCTAAAGATCTTTGAAACACGATTTCGAGCGATCATAGAGTTGCCATACGAAGAGAGCTACATGCAGCTTTCCCTGAGGAGAATGCTTTCGACAAGGTACTCCATGATGTCATATGGGGAGCACTGCGAAAGCACATGGTTCTAGAAGTATACATTCAACATAAAATTGATCTATCACAGAGCCACATGTGCAAACCGCGGCAGGACAGTCAAACCATTCCAAAGGCCGGCGTGCATCAGGAATCGGTGCTCTCTCTTCTACTCTTCATCAAAGTCATGAATGCATTG